TGTTTATGCGGTTTAAGGTTCAAAAAACACATTATTTTCCACATACTGTACATTATTGTTTCTCCTCTATGCCCCGCGATTTTTACAAAGCTCATCGGTCTGAAAAAGCGAGGTGAGCTCTGATTGGCCAGCTATCCAGTGCGTTGTGATTGGCCGAATTCCTCAAGCGTGTGACGGAAATGTTACGTCCCTTACCATATTGTGACCCCGGACTGGACTCCGCTTCGTCCACTGTGAAGCCGATCCGGCGATCCACAGCGCAAAGTTGATGTATTTCCTCAGCGATCAGCACGGATCAGCTCCAGGCATGACGAAACGATATCGTCCTCTTTTGGAAGACCAAACAAAGTAGTTTTGCTTTCACAACGAAGCACACAGCGCCTTCACGACATGGCGGCAGCAATACTACAGCGAGAATAAAAGTCACGCCTTCTTTCTTTGCGTGAACATTTGGGCGGCGTTATGCAAATCTTCCCAGATAGTGACGTAGGTATGTGGGGGCGTGTTAGAACGAGCCGTTTTAGGTAGGCGTGGCTGACTCTGAACTTTTATAAAGAATACCTCTTTGGATTTGAGACTTTAGTCTTTGCAACTTTACAGATCTTCTTTATGCACCAAGAGCTTGTAACACTCCAAAGAGAAAGGAAAAATTGAAATCGTATCATATGACCACTGTCTTAGTCTTTCTATGGGGGAGAAAAGTCTTAAAGGGGACCTATTATGCCCCTTTTTTCAAGATGTAAAATAAGGCTCTGATGTCCCCAGAGTGTGTGTGAAGTTTTGGCTCAAAATACCTTACAGAATGTTTTTATAGCTTGTTAAAATTGTCACTTTTAGGGTATGAGCCAAAAAGCCGTTTTCGTCTTTCCCTTTAAATGCAAATGAGCTGGTGCTCCCGGAGAAGAGGGCGGAGTTTCAAGAGCTCAAGCTCCAGCAATACCGGTGTTGTGCCCAATTCTGACCCCCGGCAGATTACTATCCCCTAGCATTGGTAGGTTTAGGAGTAGGTGTGGGGGAGGGGTTAGGATTAGGCAATCAGGTAGTGATTTCAACGAGAAGGGGTAATCATTTGGCAGGGGTCAAAAATGGGCACAACACCAGTGCTAGACTTTGCAAATAAACACTCCACTATTAGTACAAGCTAGGGGTTGAACGGCTTCTGATTTTTTAAAGTCGACTTTTATGTGATGAAAGTCTAGTCGAAGTCGACTAGTCGCTGATGATGACATTAATGAACAAATAAGTCTGGAGCTGTGACAAACACCTTGTGCACAGCTATGGCATATGTCACAGCTCATTTTTAACTTTTCTTTTGTCTTTGAGTCGTTATGTTTCTCACAGATTTCTGCTCGTTCTAAATCAGATACTGATAAAGTAGCACAGTAAAGATTACACTCATATGAATGCATTAGTGAGAGCGATTGCGTGTCTGAATTAATTCTGCCTGGCAGCGTCTTTCTACTAGTAGTGAAGCTGTGGGATTTAGTTAAGCAATATATGCTTGAACTTTTCAGTATCAAAGCTATTTTATTGAGAAATCACAGAACAGTGTTGACGATACATTTCCGCGCTGAATGATTCTGTTTTTCTTGTGCTCTGCGCGTGATGTACGAGCTACTGTCTGTAATGTGTGCGTTACAGTGCAGCAGCGCATTAGATTAGAACAGCGATTAACTTACCTACCTGTACAATAAGCGGTTTAAAACGTACATTCTCCCATTCAATTTCATCATGGCAGAGCATTGAAGTCGACTAGTCGGTGCAACCCCTAGTACAAGCCTGTTATCTTTACAGAAAACGCACTCGATTTAAAAGTCAGTCATCTGATTGTACTTTATGAATTACACAGATGGGAGCACGGCGCGATAAAAATAACTCATGGTGCCATACAAACTTTATAAGCCCCACTTGTGATTATGAGCTCGACTAATTCCAGCGGTCGACTTCACGTTGCTTTGCCCACTTTCCTATTTATGATCTTTCTGGTAGCATGTGAAGGTAGCATCAGTAAAAACAGACAGACAATTGTAGCTTTATCAGCATTAGTGACAAGCATTACAAAGTGCCAAGAAGCTCTTTCAGAAAGGCAATTTGGAAAACTAATAGCGTGATACTTATTTCTTCTGGAGGTGTAGCTGGATCACGAACAGCTGGTACTGCTCCATCCTTCAGGAGCAACTTTTGTGCAAAACCTGCTCTATACTGACCCTCATTCACAAAGCAGTCCGGTGTAAAATGATTCGCGCAGACATAAACGAATTTCGGTAGTTGAGGGAGCATTTTCTTCAAAAACTAAATTAATCCACCTCGTCTTCAGTGGCTCAGATTTCGAGAGTAAGGAGAGAGCTATGTGGATTCATACATCCAGCTACAGAACATCTAAAATGCTTGGGAGACATTCTTGGGCGGAGCCTGTGGCTAATGCGATGTCACATTAGCACCAAATCGGAAAGCAGGTAGTTGGGAGACACTGCTTATGATTTATGGGGATTAAAAAAAATGGGTGGATTTTTATCATTATAGGGTGTACACTGCCAACACACGTTTATGTCCTAACACCATGCAAAAGTGAATTTTGCATAATAGGTCCCCTTTAATGTGCAATTTACGTTCATATTCTGGGCTTTTCTGATTGTCTGCAAATAGTAGGCCATGCTTTATTAATAAGGTGTACTGAATTTGGTCTTCCAATGTCACTGTTTTAGTACATTTAGCAACATTAAGCGTTTTAAAATGTCCCAGAACTTTGAACTAAGCACTGACTGTATTTCTTTATACTCGAGTCCAAGTTCAAAATAATACTCTATGAACCGTTCTATTGGGAACGTACGGAGCTGTATGAACCACTGCAAGCTGTAAAGTAAACAGGCGTCTTCAGTGGCTCAGATTTCGAGAGTAAGGAGAGAGCTATGTGGATTCATACATCCAGCTACAGAACATCTAAAATGCTTGGGAGACATTCTTGGGCGGAGCCTGTGGCTAATGCGATGTCACATTAGCACCAAATCGGAAAGCAGGTAGTTGGGAGACACTGCTTATGATTTATGGGGATTAAAAAAAATGGGTGGATTTTTATCATTATAGGGTGTACACTGCCAACACACGTTTATGTCCTAACACCATGCAAAAGTGAATTTTGCATAATAGGTCCCCTTTAATGTGCAATTTACGTTCATATTCTGGGCTTTTCTGATTGTCTGCAAATAGTAGGCCATGCTTTATTAATAAGATGTACTGAATTTGGTCTTCCAATGTCACTGTTTTAGTACATTTAGCAACATTAAGCGTTTTAAAATGTCCCAGAACCGTGCTTTGAACTAAGCACTGACTGTATTTCTTTATACTCGAATCCAAGTTCAAAATAATACTCTATGAACCGTTCTATTGGGAACGTATGGAGCTGTATGAACCACTGCAAGCTGTAAAGTAAACAGGAAGTGTTTGTCCGAACTCTGTTTTTTCGAGAGAACGATGTTTGTACTTTCTTCTACACTGGAAGCTCCTGTCGTCAAGTCAAATTCCTTGTGTGTGTAAACATACTTGGTAATAAAGCTCTTCTGATTCTGATTCTGATTATTGAAACGGGCCCCTGCTCAATAAACAAGTTTTTGCTGTATTTCGACAATGAAAATAGCTCCAAACAAAGCCACAGCAGAACTGTTTTGCGTCTCTGAGCAGCACACGCCGGTGTTTCGTTACTGAATCAATCAACCGTTTGATCGAATCGGTTGCATGAAGGATTCAACGACTCACTCATGCAGTGATTTACCGCCACCTACTGGCGATTTTAGGGTTATATTTAAATTATATTTTGTTGATTTAATTTGGTTGGTAACAGCCCTATAGTGTCTAACTATTTGAATTGACTGATTAAATGTAAGAATTTGCATACATTAATTAGGTTAGAAAAAACTGGCCTTATAAAAGATTAAAATGCCCATACAAATACAAATAAAATCAATGTAAACTTATTGGAAAAGATCATTTCAGTTACTGCTGCAAACGAACCACCTCAGAATATGAAGAATATCAAAAGCTTTGGGAGTCAGCTGTCCACGGCAGTCCTAAACCTGCCAAAATACCAGCACAATAACATAATATTGTCTAGTTATCGTTATCGACAAAATTCCAGAAAATATTGAGATATCATTTGTTGTCATTATCACACACCCTTAACAGCAACTGACATACAGCTACTCTGCAAGTAACGTGTAGTTTTATTTTCAACCACAGATGGCAACAGAGAGGCCAAAGTCCTGCAGGGCAGCTTCAGTTTAAACTTATTATTTGTTTGTGTCTTTTCAGATTGGCTCATGTAGCGCTGCTCCTCCTCCTCCCAACACAGGGGTAAAAATCCCCACCTGCAAGTTCTCAATAAAAGACACCTTCCTCACCTCACCAGAAGACCTTTACAGGGTCTTTCTCAATCAGGATGTGAGTCTTCTGCCGCCACCACAACTGACAGCCCATTAGCTATTAACTATAGTGAGACTCCCTGGGCTCTTATTATTTAATGAGCAGATCATTTCTCATTAGTGATTACATTTGTTTGACAGGGATGACAAATTGTGTGTTACAGATGGTGCAGGCTTTTACACGCAGCAGTGCTGTGGTCGAGGCTGAAAAGGGTGGAAAGTTTCGCCTGTTGGACGGAAACGTGAACGGAGAGTTCCAGGAGCTGGTGAGATTTCGGTTTCAAAACACGATGATGACAGGAGAAACTGTCCTTTAAATAAACAGCTCAGCTAAAAATACATTCAGTGATGATTGAATTCTGATTTGATTTCTGAAACTGTGTGGGCTTGACAGGTTCCTGAGCAGAAGATAGTCATGAAATGGAGGTTCAACTCATGGCCTTGTGGTAAGAGAAAACTGGAAGTTTTGCAAGAATGTCACATACACTACCATTTAAAAATTTGGGATCAGTTTATATATATATATATATATATACACACACACACAGGTGCATCTCAATAAATTAGAATGTCATGGAAAGATTAAATTATTTCAGTCATTCAACTCAAATTGTGAAACTTGTGTATTAAATAAATTCAAGTCTTTGGTTCTTTTAATTGTGATGCTTTTGGCTCACATTTAACAAAAACCCACCAATTCACTATCTCAACAAATTCTCAACAAATTAGAATGACATGGCGTGACATGCTAATCAACTCAAAACACCTGCAAAGGTTTCCTGAGCCTTCAAAATGGTTTGGTTCACTAGGCTACACAATCATGGGGAATTATGCACTGGCTGGTTTTTGATAAGTTAAGAGGCTTTATGAAACATTGGATCTTCTTGAAAATGGTTTGGAGAAAGAACAATAAAGAGATATTTCGGACCACTTAATGTTTCTTTCTGATGGAAATAGTCATTCATGTACATTTTTGTCATCACATCTAATAGTATTATGAACATACGAGATTTTTACTCATAGCCATTTACATTCACCAAAGCAAATACAAGCTGCAGAAAGCCTGTTTCTTTTGTCTCAAACAGACTATTAAAAAGAAAATCATGTGGAATGCACAACTGGTCATTTTTAGATCACTGCTTTGTATTACTGCAAGTACTGTATTTCAGCCTTTATAGGGTTTGGCTGCTATGTTTGAAATGCTTGAAAAGAGAACCACAGACCAATTTTAAGTCACTCAGTTTTGTTTGTATTGTCCCAAATTACAATCCCGAAAAAGGTTTGGGTTTTATTTATTTTCTTGCATTATTTCTGCATCACACTTTGTCACCAGACAAAGAGCATCAATTACTTAAAATAAAAATACCTTTGAAACATCATCCTCAGATATTTTATTCAGCCATTATTTTGCATTACCCTATAATAGATGCTTGGTTATTTGGAAGATTTTTACTACATCTCGTCATATCACAGTAGTTAGGTTAGGAGTAGAAAATGCATATTTATACAATATTGTGTAATACTGACATCTTAAAATATACCTTATAGAATATTTACTATAAAATACAATTGACCTTGTCATACAATATGCCGCTTAAAGAACCCTGTAACCTACTGTGGATAATAGTAACAAAACTAGTGACCTGCATTTAAAGATGAAAGAAAAGAAAAAATATAACTATTTACATTTAACTATAAATATATAATCGCATAAGTCACAGCTTAGAAAATCATGCTAGATTATAAACATTACACCGTTCAAACTACAGTTTTAATTACGCATCCAACTGAAAGCAAATTAGTGGAGCTGCTCAAAATCACAAAATCTCTATTATATAATAAACAAATGATTTTCTTCCTTATCGGAATTTAAAACTCCCTGGAAAACTTGAAAACAAAAATTATATAATTAAGTTCATGGTCAATATAATACCACAACAGAGCAATTTCACAAATTAAAAATGAAATATTTATATCAGATGCTAAGAATAACAATAACACACCCCTCCCGAAAGATGTTGGGTCTTCATAAATAATACTGCAGTTTTCAGCAAGAGATTGTTCGATCTTGTCAAACTTAAATAAGAATAAAAGAAAACAATTTACATTCGTAGAATACTGGATTGATGTAGTTGATACGTCAAGCACAGATCTCACCTTTTCAAATGCCCGGTCAAGGTGAATGAGTTTCCAAGCAGATGAACAGCTCAGACTCCTGAAAAACAAACATCAAGAACATTGTCAAGATTAAAAATACAACTAACTCTGTGTCAGTAAAATCTTCAATAACTTACACTGGATGACTCGCTGTTGATGACCAGATCATTGGTGGCTTTTTGAGGCGGCTCCTCCCTCTCCGGCGACCTGGCTTTGATAGACACACTTTGCCACCGTTTCCTAAAGGAAGATCATTTCATTCAAATCGTTCCTTGTATGGAAAAACAATAAAACACTATTTGCCGGGCACCTGTGCTCTTTGATCAATTATATTGTACCTGTGTGACTGCCATTTGCCCTTAGTTTTGCACTCTGATGTTGATGCAGTGGAGGCCTGATCTGCCAAATCATTCAGGAAGTCAAACAACTTCTCTGAATTAATGCACTGTTTCCTACAAAGATCATAAAAAGAACACAGAAACAGATGGACATGACACAAACTCACAAAACGGTGGACAATGCATAGGAATAATTATTTAAAGGGGTCATATGATGTTGCTAAAAAGAACACTATTTTGTGTATTTGGTGTAATGAAATGTGTTTATGCGGTTTAAGGTTCAAAAAAACACATTATTTTCCACATACTGTACATTATTGTTTCTCCTCTATGCCCCGCCTTTCTGAAACGCGTCGATTTTTACAAAGCTCATCGTCTGAAAAAGCGAGGTGTGCTGTGATTGGACAGCTATCCAGTGCGTTGTGATTGGCCGAATACCTCAAGCATGTGACGGAAATTTTACGTCCCTCACCATACTGTGATGCCTTGAGCAACCACATGTGACGACCCCGGGCTGGACTCCGCTTCGTCCACGGTGAAAGCCGATCCGGCGATCCACAGCGTGAAGTTGATGTATTTCCTCAGCGATCAGCACGGATCAGCTCCAGGCATGACGAAACGATATCGTCCTCTTTTGGAAGACCAAACAAAGTAGTTTTGCTTTCACAACGAAGCACACAACGCCTTCACGACATGGCGGCAGCAATACTACAGCGAGAATAAAAGTTACGCCTTCTTTCTTTGCGTGAACATTTGGGTGGCGTTATGCGAATCTTCCCACATAGTGATGTAGACATGTGGGGGCGTGTTAGAACGAGCCGTTTTAGGTAGGCGTGGCTGACTCTTAACTTTTATAAAGAATATCTCTTTGGATTTGAGACTTTAGTCTTTGCAACTTTACAGATCTTCTTTATGCACCAAGAGCTTGTAACACTCCAAAGAGAAAGGAAAAATTGAAATCGCATCATATGACCACTTTAAGACAAGAGGATGTCTGTTTTGAAGCTCACATGTGATTGATGGACATCACTCTGCTGTTCCTGGATTGGGTTATTTTACAGGTCGTGGTGAGAAGGGATCTGAGGAACATTTCTAAAGCTTTAGCTAAATCTGCAGTTAAGGAACATAACAGCAGTATGAAGGACTAGATAATGAATAATGACCAATAAGATAGATAGATAGATAGATAGATAGATAGATAGATAGAACTGAAAAGGTTGAACTAAGGTTAAACTAAGCGATGTGATTGGTTCTTAGAATGCAATTTCACTGATTTGAGCCAATCACAACGCTCTATAGATATGAACTAAGGAGTCGTTAGAACAAAAGAATCGAAGAGTCAGAATCGAAGAAACGACTCTTTTGGAATCTACTTCTCCTATTTAAGTATAATAAATATAATGTTATAATGCTAACATATATATATCGTGATGATCTTGGTGGTGTTAAAACAGGCTAAACGTTTTTAATGAAACCCTGAGAGACTTGTTTACACGCTTCATATGAATCAACTCGTAAATGACTCTTGACTACATATGACTCGCCACCAGCATTCAACACTGAGAGTTTTGAAAGGATACATATGATGACTGGTACAGCTGTAGCGATTCGTCCAACCTCTGTATCCTTCTGCATTATTTTCTTGATGCGTCCCTGGCCATGAGGCGAACAGGAGGATGAGTTGAGAGGTTCAGTGTCGCTCATTTGAGCAGCAGAGTCGGATGCTTCACACAATGCTCATATAACTATGAAAATTAAGAAATACTCACGGGTGGAAAGCGAACATTATATTTTCTCTTCTGTCCGGGCATTTTGAACTCTTAAATAAGCGTATTCGGCTTACATTTTGAATCATTTTACAGTTTAGAGTGCGGAGCGCCATTTGTTTACTTTTCACAGGAAGTATTGGGGGGGGGGGGGGGGGGGGGGGGGGGGGGGGTCGAGCTCCACAAAGGTTACGCCTCTGTCACGTGCGGCGTGAGATTTGTAAACATTCCTCTACCATTTTTCATCCACGTGTTTATTTTATTACTGAATTACCGATCAGATGAACCTGCTATGTGGCCCAAAATGTAGAATGGATACTTAAGTCTCACTTAAAATGCATGCATATCAACAGTAAAGTATCAAGCGCCACTATATCAGTGGTTCCCTTATCGAGTTGATCTCTCAACATTATGTATGGGGGGGGAAACCCTTTTCCTCCATGATGCTGAAGCCTGATTGAATCACTCTGTTGCTCGGCAATAGCCAATAGTTTTCGAGCACTAACCTGATTTTGGCCTCAGCCGCTATATAGTTGATGTCTGGTGCCAGTTTACTAGGGTGACCATATGTGCCATTTACCCAGGATGCGTCCTGGCCAGGATTTCTATATTGCCTAAAATAACTAGGCTTTGGCTTTGTTTGCCTGTGCAGACCGATCGGTGTATGACATCAAAATACCATACAGACGGTTCCTTATGCTTTCAAAATGCTCTCGAGGTATTTTGATGTCATACACCGATCGGTCTGCACACGCAAACAAAGCCAAAACCTAGAGATTTTAGGCAATATAGAAATCCTGGCCAGGACACGTCCTGGGAAAATGGCACGTATGGTCACCCTACAGTTTACCTCAGCATCTTTCTCCTTCACTTAGAGATGCTGTATTCAAGAAGCCTCTTATCACTCAATGTCGAAGGTACACTCTTTAGTGGAAGGTGCCCGGATTCCCACCCCCTGCAGAGTTCCGGTGAGTATAACATCTTCATATTGTACGGATAAGCTGTCCGTTCACTTCTTTACCTTTGCTGCTAAGCCCTGGAGACGGAAGGCACGGCAGCTCGGTACAGAAATGTAGGTGATGGGCTTACGACGTGTCAATTCCCGCATCCCCCTTGTTCACCTAAACCTCCAATGTCTCCTTCAGAATGAATATTCACTGGCTTTCTGCCTGGGCGGCCCCCACA